CCCCGGCTTTTAGTTTTCTCTTAGCCTTATAATAAGCTCACTTTAAATCTATCATTTAGCCCCTTTAACCATTTTTCCTGAAATCACAGTAAAGTTTCTGGAATCTGATGGCAGTCACTCTGAACTGAAAAGAGTATTTTTAAATACCTCAAATAAGGAAGATGGAGTTTTACTAAAACTTAGAAATATTTAAGAAGGACAGGAGGTAATGGACAGAAGGCAGGCTGCTCAGTTACAAGCTGCTACCCAGGACGGCTCCTCGGTTAAGGAGCCACATGAGCAGAACCCAAGGCACGTTCGCCTGTGCTGCGGAATGGCAGCTGGGGATCCCACAGCCCTCCTCCACTCAATAAGAAAGACACACTTGGCCCTTGGGAAGCAGAGACCCTGAAGAAGTTTATGATTAACTTACACATCTGCTAGATAATCTCTCCTGTTATTGTTTTTATCAAGCAGAGAAGACTAAACATTTGAAATGATCAATAAGCTTAATTACAACTTGGAGCCATGTTCCCTGCTGTGAAATGAATTCTCACTGCCCTGACTAGGTTATGTGTGTGCAATGTACACGTGGTATTGCTACCCTAATTTTGGTTTAGAGTTGCTCTGAGTTCCCTCCTTGTGGATTCGCACTAAAACTCAACATGCTCAAATCTCAGTTGAGCACGTATCGGGGAAATTGGCACTGTGGAATCTACAGATAAAATTTTATCTTTTAATTTTGTTCTGCAGTAAAACTGTTCTGTGTGAGAAAGCTCATGATTAGAATCTAAGTCTTCTTAAAATCAATGTCAAGAGAAGCTTTTGTGTCAAGAAGAGAGTGAGAGAATAAGAAAGTAACATTTAAAGAGATTATTTGTTGGGGCTGGGGATTTAGCTCAGCGGCAAAGCGCCTGCCTGGCAAGCGCAAGGTTGTGAGTTCGGTTCCCGGTACCGGAGAAAAACCAAAAAAAAAAAAAAAAAAGAGGTTATTTGTTTTTAACTGAAGTTGAATTATTGTACAAAACAATCATATTTCTAAACAGCAGGAGTTGGCCAACTTTTTTCTATGAAAAACCAGATAGTGAATATTTAGATCTTTGTGGGGCATACTGGTCTCTCACAATTACGCAGTTCAGGTAGAAGTAGTTATACGAAATTGTTAATGAATAAACATGACTTATTTACAAAAACAGGTGGCAAGTGGGACTTGGCCAGTAGGATATGGCTTGTAGGAGCCCTGCTTTAGAGGCTATGATTATTTATTTCCACAAGTACTTAGGAAAATGGGGAGACAGAAAAGTAGCACTAGTCTTTTCTTTGATTTCTCTACCCATGAAGATCAAAATTAAATATAATTGTTAAAAACAAACAAACAAAAAAGAAAAGCTAAATAAGTGGAGGTTAGTAATCTTAGGATGATACAAAACATTGATGCCCGAACATGTCCAGGGCCATCATACTTTTGCAATAGGACTTAACAGCTGTCTCATCATGAGATGTTTTGATCAGTCATACCCTGCCTCCCTCCTGCTTGTCCTGTGTGCGGTCTGATTACCATTGTGCGGGGTGCTAAATACATTGTACAGAGTTTCCTGCCTGGGGCAGGAAGAAGTAGCCAGCTCGCTCTGGCTGTGTCCCCAGTCCTGGTGTGCCAGCCTCCCTCGGGCACATGGACAGTTCTGTGGCTGTGCCCGGATCGTCACAGCTACACAACTCAATTAGAACTCTTTAGAAAGTCAAGGTCATACGCTGGATTCCTTTCCTTGATTATTTCTGAGACTCATGGGGACCTGGGTACGTCTGTGCTGCTCAGTAAGTGCTGGCTGAAGGGAGCTGCCTGGGCTGCTGTGCACATCTACTGACTGGTCACTCAGGGGACTTCTGAGGGCCCAGTACCCAGCACCCTTCCCTCCTTTCTTCTCCCCCTGCCAACTGCGAAATGAGCTCAGAGGTGCGATCTTTCAACGTATGAAGGAGGATCTCAGAAGTTCGCTTTTATGGCCATCAGCAAATAAACTGACATCACTCAGCCCTAAAGCAGTGTCAGCAGCTCCATCTTAACTCTCAGTGGTGGTAGAAAAGCCAAATGAGCCACGGGAAAGACATCGTCCGGTGGGATTTTTAAAAGACGTATGTTTCCAGTCCCTCAAGAGTTTATGTCATTTTTTTTCAAAGATTACTGTACTGAGTGTCTCAGAACAAGGCCCAGGTTACCCTGTGTACCGGGTGATGGGCTGACAACCCAGCACTACCGCCTGTCTAAGGCTGGGACCCATGTTTCATGGATTTCCCTCCCAGTTAAGGGGTGCAGTGAGAGGAACTTGTGGAGATTTGCATGTCAGGACTAGAGCCGCCGTCTACTACTTTCTAGAGGTAGCTGCAGGCAGATGTGGGGGCAGAGCAGGGATTCTCAGTGGCTTCTAGGGACTCCTGATATGCTCTGGGCCCAGCTGCTTTAAGAGCATCTAGGATGCCTGTTGTTCTGTAGTGCAGAAGGTGGGAGGAAGTTTGAGAGGAAATAGAGCAGTGTGAGACCTGTAGGAAGTGACGCCGTCAGAGGCTAGGCCTGTGCGTTGCCGTATCCTAGTGCTCAGCACAGCATCTGGGGTGTGGTGGGAAAGAAAGAAAGCAGTGCCGGTCAGAAGAAGGAGAGGGAGGGAGGGAAGGAGGCGAAGGACAATGGTGTCAGGGGAAGCTTGTCAGTTCAGCTGGTTCATGGAAAAACAGAGGCAGTTAGTTAATGATAAGGCATCTGAAGGAGGGAAAGGAGAAGAAGGAAGGAAGGAAGGAAGGAAAGAAGGAAGCAAAGAAGGAAGGAAGGAAAGAAGGAGGGAAGGAAGGAAGGAAAAAAGGAGGGAAGGAAGAAGGAGAGAAGGAAGGAAGGAGGGAAGGAAGGAAGGAGAGAAGGAAGGAAAGAAGGAAAAAAGGAGGGAAGGGAGGAGAGAAAGAAAGAAAGGAGAGAAGGAAGGAAGGAAAGAAGGGAGGAAGGAGAAGGGAAGGGAAGGGGGAAGGAAGGAAAAGAAAAAGAAAAGGCTAGAGGGAAAAAGGAGGGGAAAGAAGGAACTCTTTAAGGAGGCTGTTGTTGCACTCTTTTGGTGTATTGAGGTAGGGTGTTGCTATACAGTTCAGACTGGCCTTGAATTCTTGGTGATTCTCCTGTCTCAGCCTCCAGAGTACTAGGATGTACTGGCATGTGTCACTATACCTGGCTAGGAAGGAGTCTTCCAACTTGGTGTTAGGCATCCTTGTTTCATATTTTTGATGCTTCACCCATAATTAACCAAAGATTCCAATGTACCTATCAAAACTAGCCCTTTCCCACTCTAGAACGATAGGGATTTAACATGCACTTTTTCTTCTATAGCAGGAAAATAAAAGCTCCTAATTCACAGCATTTGCCAATTCCTGCAGTATAAATGCTTTCACCACAGAGAATTTCACCACCAACACGACATCACTGACTGTGAAGGTGTGAAAGGTGTCCCAGTCACCCTCCTCAACTGGGTCATCGGGGCCCATTGAAGCCCTGCCTGCATGGGAGGTTCACAGACCCAGCACCTGAGCAGCCAGGAGCAGCAGCTGGCATTCCACTGAGCACCAGGTCCCAGGGCTAAATCCCCAGGGCCAGGCCAGCTCTGTGCAGGGAGCCACCTTCTAAGCACCCGAAAGTTCACCTGGCTCTGCCCCCCAAGCGCTGTGTGGGAGGTGGCGTGGACAGAAGCCGCAGCAAGGATCGAAGCCACAGCGAGGATCAAAGCCCTAAATGTGCAGCAGGGCCCAGCTGCCTCTGGGTGCAGTCTGAAGTCTGAAGCTGCAGCCCCTCCCCATGGCCTGGAAAGCGGAGCCGCAGCTGTGCTCTCTGCGTTGGCGGGAGCTCACGCCTGGCGCTGCGCACACAGGCGACGCCTGAACATGTGCAGAAGCAACTGGGGTTCTCTGCTGTGGTTGGCAGCTGGCCACGTCTCCAGTGGAGGGGGGGCAGGGAGGGTCTGTGATCTCCTACAGTCGTCTGAAACTCTCCTGAGCGTCCAGAGGAAAGGAGGACACTTTATAATGTGGGCAGCGTCAATGCGAGTGAGTAGAGTTAAGAGAACAGACAGAGGGTTAGGCGGAATATCAGGAACGGTTAACGTCCACAGGTTCTAGGATTTTGCCCTCTTCTTTTTCTTTTTCTTTTCTTTTCTTAGCTGCTGGGAGAAGGTAGCTGGTGGGCACAGGAGTAGCCAAACAAGAAATTCTTCACAGTGAAACAAACAAAAGATGGGCTCATATGCTTAAAACAGAAACTCCTTTCTTTTGTGGGATGTTACCTTATGTCCCATAGCTTCCGCGTGTTCGGCCCTGGATGGGATCTGACGTTTCAGGGACATTCTGAAAACACCGAGGGATATGTCACACCAGCACTCACACAAGTGTTTGTAACAGCTTATTCATAAAGAGCTGGAAGGCGGAAACAGCCCAGATGTCCAGCAGTGATGAGTGACTCAGTAACGTGTGCTATCTCCGCACAATGGTACGTGGTCGGTCATAAAAATGATTGACGTACTGGCACATCCTTGGTCCTGGATAAACGTGCAGCCCTTACACGGAGAAAGAAGCTGGGCGCAGAAGGCCTGTGTGTTACATGATTCCATTTGTATGCAGGGGTTAGAGCAAGGAAGCCTCTGAGACCGAAGGAGATGAGCAGTTATCTAGAGGGGGGATAGCAAAAGGATATCTGGTTCCTTTTTGAGATGATGGAAATGTTCTAAAATTGTGGTGATGTTTGTACATTCTGTGAATATATTACAAACCATTAAATTGTGCACTTTAAATAGGTGAATGGTACACCCTGTGACTTGTACTGTAATAAAGCTGTTCTAAAATGCAGAGGCGTGCTGATCAGAGAGTACAGTGGACCCCAGGTTCAGCCGCTCCCCCAGAGGACTCCAGCTGAAGCTCACCCCTGGGAATGGTGTGCAGAGCATGCTGGTGGATGTACGTGGGGCCCCTTATGATGAAGAAAACTCTCCAGAAACTCAAACCAAACAGCACCGAACACAATGTAAAGGCAGATAAGAGCTCGACGTGGGTATGCAGGCTTTCCCCCTCGCTCCCCAGTACAGATGTGTACCGTTCCTTAAACTCAATCTCTTCTCCCTCCCACGGCCTTTCTCTCTGAGTATCTGGACCATCTGCTGCCGTGTGCACGCGGTCACGCACGTCTTCCTCCTTCACACACCCGCTGACGTTACTGTCACGTTGGCATCGCCAACTTAACCCTTGCAAAGCCACACTCTCTAAGCCTCCCATGGTCCTGCTCCGCCCCTGCCTCGGAAGAGGGCGACCCTGCCCCCTTGGTCGCTTAGGCCACCACTGTTTGCGTCTTCCTTGGCTCCTCTGTCTTAAATCCAATCCATCCTCAATCCGATGTGTTAGCAGCGGTGTGTGGTTTCACATCTCACCACTGTTCACTGCCTCTGCTGCCGTCGCCCGCTTCTCTCGCCCCTCGATTATGAGAACAGCCTCTCATCCGCTCTCTCGTCTTCTCCTCTTCCCCATTGTGGTCTGTTTCTTAAACAGCAGCCTGAGTGATCCTGAAATGAGAAGTCAGCTCATGTCCCCTTCTGCTAAAAATTCCCCAGGAGGGTCCCGCGCTTTTAGAAGTTTAAAATGACTGTGCAGCGCCCTGCAGAGCCTTCGCAGCGTGGGTGTCCTCCCGCCCAGACCAGCTAGCTCTCCTTTCACTCGCGCTGCTCTGTGGGTTTTCCTGCAGCGCTGCTGCCAACCCTTACACTTTCCACCACGTGGGGAATAATCTTTGAGCTGCCCTCAGCCAGCCCAGGTGTGCCGGGCGCCTCAGAGGCGCAGCACCGGTGCCTCTCCCTGCCTGGACGGCCCGTTCCCTAATGTCCACATGGCTCACACCTGCCCTCCCGTCAGTCTCCCTCCACTGGATTCCAGGTCAATACAAGCACAGGTTTTGTAAACTTTGTTGAATACCCTAGGCACACAGTTAGTACTTGAAAAACGTGCATTGCACGGAGGAACGATTTCTATTTTGATACCACTTACTGAGCCACACCTTTGGCTTCTGGACCTGGGCTGGGGTTGCGTGGACACAGGGCCTGATCTGCCAATCAGGAAGAAGTGGGTGCGTGAAAATATCCTCCTATCTGTCTTCACTACATGTCTCCTAGTTATCCTCTTCTCCTACTCTGCAGTGTCTCGATAATCGTCATGTCAGCGGCAGAACTGTCACAAGGCTAAGGGAGGCCACACTGAAGGAAAACAAACCAAAACAAAACAAAAAAAGCTCTGCAAAGAAGCTGGCTCTTGGGGCTGGGGATTTAGCTCAGCGGCAAAAGTGCCTGCCTGGCAAGCGCAAGGTCGTGAGTTCGGTTCCTGGTACCAGAGAAAAAACCAAAAAACCAAAAAAAAAAAAAAAAAAAAAAGAAGCTGGTTCTTGTCATATTTGTCCCAAGCTACAGTTCTACTCCAATTATTGGGGTATTTTTCAGTCTCTGTGAAAAACAAAATTCTTTTCTTGCATCAGCAAAAGGATGCTCAGCCTAGGCATAATTCCTTGTCCAAGAATCTAGCACTCAAGAGGATTGTGGCCAGTCGGAGGCCTGCATGCATTACATAGTAACAGGCCAAACCAGTGAATAAATGAATGAATGAATAAATAAGCATCCTCGTTTGTAAGCCTTGGAATTATTTCTGCTGTGATCCCTTTATGAAAACGTTTCTATTTTTCTGCTACCCCTTTATTTTCTTTCTTTCTTAAAACGGTTTTGTCTTTTCTATAGCTATTCTTAGCAAGAGTGCTTCTAATTTCAATAAAGTTCACAGAAAAGTTTCAAAGATGCCTCAAATGCACAGCGTACAATTCTGCTTGTACGGAGAAGCTTCCGGGTGCCGCCGCTGTCACCAAGCGTTGCAGTGATTTAGGTGACAAACTGCATCTGTTGCCTGCGGAATGAATCAGAATGATTCTGCAGCATCCGCTGGACTGTGGGAAAATAAGGACTGCTCCCCCAGGGAGGGTACGCCAAGGCTGAGTGGACAAGAGGTGGGGCCGGGACTCAGGCATCCCGAGGACTGCTGTCCGGCCTCTTCCAAGGACACGGGGTCACTCAGAACCGTTCTTTGCACACCCCGCTGCCTAGACAATTTAGGTCTTTAGAAGCCCTGAAGTTAAATACAAACAGATCAGGGACTCTGCTCAGACATCTCAGTGGCACAGCGGGGGCCTTCTTACATCATTTCCCACCATGGCTCCAACAGTGGGGCTTCCGGACCTGCCCTCTCGACTGCCCAATACTGTCAAACGTCCTCAGGGCAACAAGACAGCTGGAAATATGCAGCCATATTGATTAGCAGCATAGCGCTAACCATGGTGGCCAAGGGACCATCGTGGGAAAAGGTCCAGTGACCTGCTAAATCTGGAGGGGCTCTAAGCATTAAAGTGATATAGAGCTAAACCACTAAAAAGAGAGAGACAAGCTTGGAATCCCAGCTACTCAGGAAGCTGGGACAAGAGACTCTCAAGTTCGAGGTCATCAGGGGCCAACGTAAGACCTTGTCTCAAAATTTAAAATGATGATGATAATAACTAATAATAATAATAACCATAATAATAATAAGGGGTGAGGATATAGCTCAGGACTCCCTTGGTTCAACCCCTAGTACTGCAAAAAAAAAAAAAAAAAAAAAGGAATATAAAAGACTCCAAGAATTTCTGTGTTTCCACCTGTAATACTTTGAGAAGAAAAGTACAGTGCCTCTGACTCGCTGGTCCTGGAATACACAGGTTGGTCTGTCTTCGGAATGACATAGCTCCCCCAAGCAGAGGTTTCCCTCCCATGGAACGCTCCTGAAGGTAGGAAGCATTCATGTGGACCCAACACTCCCTGCTGAGTGCCACCTATGTATCAGGAGTCACAGCCACCCATTGTACAGATTTCATTTCCTAATTCCAGCAGCACAGTTCTGTGGTGATTGGGAGAACAAATCTACCCATTTCACCCACACAAGTGTAACTCAAAGCGTTTGGCGGTGCCTGTTTAGATCACAGGCACTTTCTACAAATGCGAAAACCAAGTTTCTCGGTTTGCATCCACCCAGCAGCAGGTGCCCAGGTGGGGTCAGGCAAACCACTCACTCAAGGGCAGAAAGAACAGAAGTGAGCAGAGGGGGCCCTTGGACCAAGTGCTGCTCTGCCCCCATGTAGAAGACGGACAGGAAGAGCGGTTCTGAGAAAGCTCAGCGGGCTGCGGGGCTGTCCTGCGGGCACAGCTGCCTGCCGGAGCAGTCTCGAGGGGGTCGAGCCCCCTGTGCCAGGACCCTGCTCAGGGAGCTTTCAGGGAGCGAGGCTGGGTGGACACAGAAAGGAGGGCGGCACCTGGGTGCTGCAGGAGGGGCGACGATGCCCGCGCAGATCTGAGCGGCACATTCCCACAGCTTCCACGCCAAGGCTTAGAAAATCAAAACCAAATCCCCCGTTCAGCTCACCTGGCTGGCTTTCAGTGAGCCTGTGACTCACATCCGTTTTCTCTGCATTCCACACTTTCCTCACTACGCCTTACTGGTGACGGGATGGCGGAGTTTTAGGTTATTTGGAGTGAAGGAATTAGTTTGCTTTATTTTTTAATAAATCTTCTTTCTCGTGTGCTGCAGTCAGCTTGCTTATAAGTAGGAGACTTTTGTCACCTGTCAGGTTGTCCAGCGCAGAACTTTATCCAAGTTTCTGGGTATAAGCTTGAGCCAAAAGAGAACACGATACCCCTGAAAAACAACCAGGGCTCTCTGTGCCCCCAGCATCTCTGAAATAGGACTTGCATTCTTGTTGGAGATGCAGTATTGTGTCTTACAAAAGACTTTTTTCCGGAGGCTGAGGCTGTAAGACAATAAATAGAAACACCAGCTTCAAGCAATGGCAAAGACACGCTTCTCTGCTCCCTTCTTATTTCTCTGTCTCTCTGCCTCCCTCTGCCTCCTACTCCCACCCTCCCTCCTCTCTTCCTCCCTCTCCCCACTCTCCCTCCCTCCCCCCTCCTTCCCCCCACTTTCCCTCCCTCCCCCCTCCTTCCCCCCTCTCTCCCTCCCTCCCCCCTCCTTCCCCCCTCTCTCCCTCTCTCCCTCCCCCCTCTCTCCCTCTGTCTCACTCCCTCTCCCTCTGTTCCTCTCTCCCTCCTACACTTTACCTTTGTGTGGATTCCATCCAGTCCATAAGTATCATTGAGCACCTACCTGTCCCAGGAACCAGAAATGCAATGGTGAATTGGGGATAGTGGAGGCTCCGTAATTATGAAGTTTTCCATGTAATGAGAAGAGAACAACAAATCACAAACCAATAGTACCCAGAAACTAGGAAGTGCTAGGAAGAACACGAAAGAGTGTGTGAAGCTTGTGAGAAATGAGGGAGGAGGCGGGGCTCAAATGGCATGCCCAGGAGGTTTCTCATTCCAGGGCTACAGGAAGGGAGCCAGCTGTGGGGTGGGGGGTGGTCAGGGAGGAGCATCCCAGGCAGAGAGGACCTTGGAGGGGAAGGCAGTGCCGCAGACACAGGTACAAAGGAATGTTGGCCTGTGGGGCTGAAGCCTGGAGAGGACACAGGGTGCCGTGAGCCAGACAGCAGGAGGGGACCGGCTCACACAGGACCTTATAAACCAAGGTGAAGACCGGTTTTGCTGTCGGTGGAGGTTCCTGGAGAGTTTTAACCAGAGTCATGCTAGGAGCTGATTTACGGCCGGGGAGGTGGCTGAGGGAGGCAGGCACAGAATGGAAAGGTGGTTTGGAGGAGCTCCCAGTGGTCGGGGTAGGTGGTGGCCCTGGAAAAGGCGGTGAGAAGTGATTAGCTGTGGGTAGATGTCAAAGCTCTTGGGCTGCTCCTACAGAAGTCGGCAGAAACCTAACTTCATCTGTGATGGAGGCTGAAATAACGGCCTCATGGATTTTCACACAGGATGTCAGCAGTGTGCACCATGGACCTGGGGCAGGGCCGGAGAGCTTCACCAAAAAGTGAGAAAGAAGCCAAAAATATGGCTCCACCTGCATGATGAAAGGGAGATCGCCTCCAAAAAGCAGAACTCCATTCAATTCCTTTTTTGTGTTTTGGATTCTAGGTGTATTCAAGTCCTACCACTCAAAGATTATGTCTTTTCTGGTAATGGGTTGTGATTGGACATACCTGGGGAAGCTATAGGACGTGCTGAGGAATTGTATAACACCAGCAATAGCTAACTATTGTATCATGCGTACTACGTGGCAGACACTATGTGCTTTATTATCTCATTTAAATCTCATACCAATTCTATGACGCAGGATTTTTTTTTTTTTTTTTTTTTTTTTTTTGGTTTTTCTCCGGTACCGGGAACCGAACTCACGACCTTGCGCTTGCCATGACGCAGGATTATTATCACCATTTTATAGGTGGGGAAACTGAGTCACAGAGACGCTAGAGGAGAGAACCTGGTTACTCTGACTTTGAAGGCCCTCTTTAGCTAAATGGGGTGGAGCTCCACCAACTCCAAGGACAGGATCTTTACCTAGCAACCCGTGGGTGGCCTGCATGTACAGGCCCCTCAGAGGTGGCTCTGTAAGAACGATAGCCATGGTGCTGGAGTGGTCAGTGTAATGTGAACATTCCTACTGTGTGCACTCTGATATGTCCTAGCTGCCAGAGGCTTGACAGAAGCCCTGGAGGAGGGTGCTGTGACCCCAACAATCGAAAATTACCAGTTCACCCATGCCACGGCCCAGCTTTAGCAAAGACACTGTTTTCCCCATGGCAAGGACACACTTGTCCGCAAACTCACTCAGCAATTGTTTGTTGATCCAGCATTGCACCAGGTACTGAAGAGAACAGAGAACAGGCAAACTCCCTGCCTTCTGGACTGCGCAGGTCAGAGGGGAACACCAACAGCACAAGAGAATTAACAACACAGAACACATGTGGAATACTCAAGCAGCAGACTGCAGAGTCAGAGGAGAAATGCACGAGCTGAAGAGAAATGAGGATCTAAGATCCACTTGAGCTGAGTTAGAAGAGGAAGCAAGATTTTGATAGAAAAGGCAGAGTGGGTGAACGATGGAGGTTGCTCTGGAGAAGTATCTGAAGTACGTCGAAGGAATTCAGAACCTACTGCACACGGAATCATTTGGCTGTGCTTCTGCCTAAGGCCACAGTCCTCCAAAGCTCAAAAGCATTTGCCATCTGGTGGATGATGCTACTATTAACGCAGCACAGGAAGCCACTGTGATGGAATTTCTGTTATGCATGGGAGACAAGGACAGCAAAATCTAACGGCATAAAGAATGGAAGAAAAATGTTCTTGGGAAGAGCCCAGGCTCAGAGTTGATTGCTCTTAAGAATACTTCATGAACAGTAGCCAAGAGTTGCTCAGAGATCATTCATCAATAATTGATGTTTTGGGAAAGCAGCAAAAAAACTGGGCCTCTGAGAGCTCCTAATCACCTCCTGCCTCCTCCACCCACTCTCTCAGACATGGGAAAGTCTGATGGGTCCTCAGTAGTGAGAATCAGTTGGATGGGAGCAGAGAATAAACAAGTAGTTTCTAGTGAAGGAAATCAGTTAGAACTGCTCCTCCCCTGTCACATTACAGAAAGGAAAACAATGTTTGTGTAAGGTTGCACTTAAAATATTCTGGGAAAGGTGACGGGAGGTTGGAGCAGTCCTCTTCACCACATGCATGACGATTGCATTTTGACACTTTTCTCCAGCATAGTAAGTCCCCGACTTACAAGTTCTGTTCTGGGAGAACATGTGTAAATCGGATTCATTTATAAGTCCAGTGAAGTGAGTCTTACACACCTTTGACACAAATGTACAATGTAAAGCGTAAAAAATATTCAGATGTTCCACGGTCTTGTCCCTGTTCTTCAGAACTGTGCCCATGGTTGAATGATTCATGCTATAAGAATGAGCAACGTCTACCATCTTTTTTTTCCTCAGTCTGATCTCTCAATTATCTTCGTTTTTATTTCCATAGTTATTGCTTGTGTTTCCTAAGAATCACCACTGCCTTTCCTCTTGCTTCCAGACATCCTGGGCTCTGACTGAGCACTGTACTATTGTACACTACTGCACTATTCAGTAAACACATAGCAGTGTATCTGTGACAATGTCCAGCAGATATGTGAGCTAATTCCACAAATTTGTTCACATCTACCAGTGTTCATGCTGTGAGGTCTACTTGTATCTGTGAAAGTTCACAATTCAAATGTTTGTTAAATCAGGGACTTACTGTACTAGAGATTGAACCCCAGGCTTAGGGATTGAACCCAGGGCCTTTGCACTGAGCTACATCTCCAACCCATTTTTCATTTCTTACTTTGAGACAAGGTCATGCTATCAAATTTGCTATCTTCCTGTCTCAGCCTCCCAGATTGCTGGGATTACTGCAACAGCAAGTAGAAACACACCTGGGATTCTAAGACAGATTTATGCCAATGGGCACTGATCGGGATCCCTCCCAAAATATCAGGTGCTGATCTCTGGTGGTCTAGGCCTCATATGGAATAAGCAAGCAGGAATTACAGAGGCAGAATGGCTTGTCAATTGGGGACTGGCTTAGACAATGTGCATCGTAGTGACCAGCTCTTTCTAAGACACAGGAGCAACTGGATCTGCAGCTGGAACTACTACCTGGGCAATGAAAAAACTGAAGTATATGACTGGCGGAGGTATTTTCTGCTATATTACAAGTATGCACCACCATGCCCAATTACGTTTTGACACTTTGAAAATACCAATGGATGTGAAGTGATAGGAGAGAGAGGGCAGTTCTGGTAAAATGCCCCTCAGGATGCCAGCCTTCTGCAGTAGTCAGTCAGAGCACACCCCTTTATCTTCTTGATGAATAAGAACTCTTAATAGTGACCCTACAACTTAAATGAGGAACATAATCATCCCTCAGCATCTGTAGGGAATTGGTTCCAGGACCTCCCATGGGTACCAAAATCCACAGATGCTGAAGTCCCTTAAGTAAAAAGGTGCAGTATTTGCATACACGGTAACCTATATGTAATCTGTGTGCAGCCTACAAGTGTCTAAGCATCCTTCCACATGCTTCATCACTTGTAGATTGCTTTTAATATCTAATGCAATGTAAGTCCCCTGTAAATAGTTACTATTCTATGTTGTTTAGGAAATGATGATAAGAAAAACTTTGCATGTGTTCAGTGAGTGTATTTCCCCCCATGTTTTCAATGCACTTTGGCTGAATGCGTGAATGTGGGACTCACAGACGCAGAGGGCTGGCTGTGCTTTCACTCTTTTGTTGTTCTCTTTGAGTTCTGGGATGATCTTTTTCACTCAGGGAGGATTTTACTTGTCTACAGTTGGCTGTCATAGACTTGATCTTTATAGTTTCCTTCTTTGGTTTGATATCAAAAGAAGCCTTTGGCATCTAATATTATAAACTACTGGCCTGTATTTGTTTTGGTTTTTTAGCTCTAATCTATTCTATTTTTGTGTATGTCATAGTGTAATAATCTATTTTTATTTTTCTTTCACAAACAGTTAACCACCTTTCCCAGGAACACTTAGTGTTTTATCCATTCTTTTGGTAACTTTAACCGTATCTGTATTATGCATTAAATATTTTGTACACTTGGGTGTGGTAGACTGTGCTAACACAGTCTTGCCAAATATCCCAGAGCCCCTCCCTGCAAGCTGTCTGACGAGAGGGGAAAACAGTCTGTTGACTTTGGGTGTGGCCACATAGCTTGGGTTGTTCAATGAAATTCCAGCAGGATTACCATGTGTCTCTTATAACCAGAAGCTTTAAGGGCCAGCAAGCTACTCAAAATGTTTTTTTTCTTTTTGCAATATGATTATTTCCAGACAGATGCTCCTTCATCATTCTGGGTCCCAGGATGAAAGCAACACAAATAAGAGTTCCTCCGATCCATGATGAATATATAGCTTGGACAAAAAAAAAAAAAGATCTTCGTTGTAGAAAACTACAGACATTTAAGGGACTTTGTGATCATGGTACAGTCCTGACTCTGGGGTGCTTCTGGCCTGTCTTTACTCTCATAGAGCTTCATTCTTAATTAATTGGACCTTTCCCTCCTAAAACTAAAAATGGACAGGAGCCCTTGTTTGAAAGTTCTGGGAAAGCAAATTAAGAAATAAATATAAATCATTCACTCAAAGGTTTTCCACGTTTAACATTTTCTTCTACATCCAGCATTTGCTGAGGACAGCAGAAGCGCGGCATTGACCTTGTGTGGAAGCCGGGGCTTGGTGTTATACACAGCTTCACCAACAGAAGGGGTCTTCACGGGTGTCGGCATCACTTGCACCTGGGCACTCTCTCTCTCCGTCAGTTCCTCAGCTTGGATTTAAAGCTCCATGTCAAGTGATAGCATTGTATTTCCAGAAATGGGGTGGGAAAGTGAGGAAAGGAATTTACTAGGAAAATGCTTCAAGGTAGTGGAGCAAACGGTTGTACAAATTTGCCACAGTCCAAGTTCCTGCAGCCTGTGGGTGTGTGCACTCCTCCCAAGGCACGGGTGTCTGGAGACTCCTGTCCCTCAGGAAGGCTTTGAGCCGCCTCAAAGATGCCAGTGTAGTGTAAACACCACTGAATCTGGAAGGATTTGATGCAAATGCCAGGAGGGCCTTCCAAGGGAGGGAGTTTTTCAGTGCCCCCTCCTTTGGGAAGTGACTGGTCTGCCCCTAATAGAGCAGAATACGATCCTTGCACCAGTAACCCTGAGAGATGCCATTGAGGTCCAGGGAAACCTTCAGGTTTGCATCTTCCCAGCTTTGGAACTATCTTTATGGCCTCATATTTAGCCAGTAATGAAAACTGATGGCTTCTAGTTAGACTCACAATTGTATATGACAAGATCTAAGTCTGCTCCTCTGCCCAAACTTTGACATTGAACAGCAGCCAATATGTGATTCACTGTGGAGCTCAAAGTCAGAGCATACTGTACTGTTTCCAACGGCATTTCTGCTCCGGCCCCCTCACAACCATCTCCACAGCTCAGTAGAGATTCGCAGACACATAAATCAGAGTTGGCTAAGTTTAGGGAAGGATGGAGACCTGGACACCACCCAAACAGAGAAGTCATCCGCAGAACAATTAGTCACCAGCAACACACGTCCCGTGTAGCAGGAGAACCTCCTCAGTGCAGAGCAACTGACAACAGAAGCAGCTAGAGAAACAGAAAACGTTGGTGAAGATTCTAACACAAGGCCACACCTTGAAGACTGAAATGAAGAAACTGAGAATTCCTTGCAGCTATACCAGGAAACCCCAATATGAAAGAAATAATCAAAAACTGCATCGGGTCCAGCGTCAGAGCAGTGGTGAATT